GCGTGTGTGTGTGTGTGTGTGTGTGTGTGTGTGTGTGTGTGTGTGTGTGTGTGTGTGTGTGTGTGTGTGTGTGTGTGTGTGTGTGTGTTTATACTCTGCAGCGGCGACTGTCGTGTGCAATGTCGCTGACGAGCAGGGTGTGTATGTGTGTTGTGGGAGCTTGACACGCGGTGTGCTGCGACAGCGCCCAGGCGAGGGAGAGCCATCCAAATCAAAATGGTGGCGATGCTCCTTCTCTCCCCCTGGCGTGGCAGGTTCCTCGAGGAGGAGCCCGGCAGGAATCTGCTGTGCTCGACACATTTCTCTGGCAAGCCGCTGCGGTGTTGGTGGACGGGCCCTGTGCTCTCCCAACTCTTTGCTGGTGTGTTGGCCTCGCTGGGAGCTCTTGTTGTTAACTTTTCAACACTTTGGCCATTCTTATGGATTTGTGTTGAGCTAACTGGCATTTCCTGTTCAGTCATTTTGAAACCGTTTATTGAACCGGAGAGTACACTGGTGGTGCCTTTGGCTTGCCCCCTCTAACTCTGGAAAAGTTTTCCTTAGTATCCTTAGTTTGACTGGGATTTCTCACCGTACAATGGCCCAAGGTAGAACCCGGGGTGGTTTTTCAGTGCCATAAATAATCGCTGGCTGTGACAATCTGCCTCCTTTTAGTTAGCCGTTAGCGGGCTAGCCCTTGTCATAGACACTTTCAAGGAGGCGTGTCGGAGTTGTCGTCTTTAATCATTCCTATTGGAGTGTTTTTATTTTCTTTTGTGATTAAAATGAATTGGCGTTCCCCGATGAATGGAGGAAGCAGCTACTATGATACTGACAAGCACAATGTTATCGTGCAACCAGAACATCCTATGTTTGTTTTTATCTCTTGATGTGATTAAAGCATAACATGGAATAAACCTTTAAAGGCAGTTGGTAGTTTGGATAAGCCGGTCCCTTTCACGCATCAATAATGGCTTGCCTTATTTTAATCTAGTTTATATGCAAGTGTTATCAAATGATAAAATGACTTTTCCAAACACGCTAGTGTTGCTTTTTCCTAATGTCAAAATATTTAAATTGTTAATCATTTAAATATGAGTTATGGCCTTGTCAAACAACACAACTTTTTGGTAGTTCACAGTGGTCGCACTGTCAGGCTACCAGATAAGTATTGTTTTGTGTCTTTGACCGGACGATAGGTCACACTGCAAGTCCATCACTTTCCAGACCAGACGCTGGCCAATCTTGTGAGATTTCAGCTCAGTGAGTCTTAAAAGAATTAAATAAACGATCAAAGAACTCTTTACCATAAGTGCTTGGTACAGCGTGGCTTTAAAAATGGAAACAAAGGACTGTTTATTGTTTTTAACTTATTTTTACACTTGCACGACAGTGAACATGTTCAAAAGCATGCCAGGGAAATCCAGCACGTAAAAAAAGTTACGTAGCTTGTCCTGGTTGCTCAGTAAGGTATGGCTCGCTCGATAATGATAAAAAGAAGACATGATCAAAGTTTAAGATGACAATTGTTTTCATGGATGATAGATCTTCTCATATCAATAGTGGCTAGCTTCTTTTTACACTTGTACGTCAGTAAAGATTTTATTCAGCGATTCAGAGGTGACTTGTATTCCAATGAGACGGCCTTGATTTTGGTAATACGTTTTTTCTATACGATCCCCATCACTCAAATAGCAAGTTATTTTGTATGACAGTTAATATTAATAACAACAACACACCTTCTTGTAAATTGACATGTCATCCGAGTGCCGTTGTCTTTAATCCAATTCCCTTTTTGGCATCAGTCCTATGTTGTTGTTGTCTTTTCTAATATCTTGTGGTTAACCTATTTTTATACCTAATTAAAATATTGCCTGCATGGTTAATAAAGGTTTTATGAGGAGCAGATTCGTTTTCCATTATTTCCCATGGCAGGCAGAGATTGAAACCAGGAACACATTGTGGGTTCGAGTTCGATGTTTTGCTGTTTTTCAACGGTCTTAAAGACGCGTCATGGCTGTGATGCACCATGGACTTGTGATTGTGTTTGTGTGTGTGCGTGCGTGTAATATAGCAAGCCTGCGACCCTCGTGAGGATAAGCGTTTCAGATAATGGATGGATGGATATGTGTGTGTCTGTGTGTATGAAGCCTATCACTCTTTTATACTGGTTGCTCTCATTGCACTTGTCCATTCTTCTCCACCTGGGGCAGCGAAGGGAGACTCGGACAAAAGCAAATTGAAATGCTCCAGTGAACGCTTTCTTGACGTGATGCACGGCTCATGAGATGCACACTGGCCCCGCCGCTGCCGCTGCTGCTCTCGTTACGCCATCCACTTCCGTCTTGTGTGTTTGCCCAAGAAAACCCAATAGCCATGGAGCAAAAGGTCACTAAAAGTTGGTAGCGTTCAGCGCCGTAGGTCCACACTAAGTAAATGTTGTTTTTTTTTTTTTTGTGTTCTTCATTCGTCATTAGTTTATGTACTGTAGATCTTAATGTTATGGCAATGTGTGATGTGTTTTAGTGTGCTTGGGTTCAAATTTCAGTCCCTGGTTGAACCTAAAGTGCTGCAACTTCATGTCAGGGTTAAACTTCAACAGGGAAGTGGTGTGTGTGTGTGTATTGTTGTGTGTGCGTGCGCCTGTGTGTGTGTGTGTGTGCCCGTGCGTGTGTGTTTGTGCTAAAGTGAGAGCGAGCGAGAGAGGTGTCTTTCCAGTTTCTGTTGTCAGTTGCCACGTTACACCACCGCCAAACTGGTTCCTCTTCTCTGCTTTCCATCAGAACATCAACAGTCCGAACGTTGCCTTCTCTCTTGTGGGGGGGAAAGGAAAAAAAAGAAAAAAAAAAGGAGCTCAGTGTCTTTACCAGTCGGCTTATTAACACGCTGAGCATTCCGGATCTCTGGTTTAGATGGAGAAAGAGTGTTGTGGTTGATAAATGAAGCCCACCGACACGCTCAGGTTTCCTGCTCTAAATTCAGGATTTATGGTCCTTCTTCGAGTAAGACACAGTGAACCCAAGCTCTGTCAGACCAAAGCGGCCTGTGGTGGGGAGGGAAAGCGAGAGAGAGAGAAAAAAAAAACCTGAATTCTTTGGAGACGCCCGTTCCTTGGGCAGTGTGGTGCCACGGGACAAGGCCTTCATTGAGCTGGAACAGGAGCAGTCTTGTAGAAAGGATCCACTGGCTGGAAGCAACAGAGCTGTCCAAGGACGATTAAATATTTAAGAGTTTGGAAAGGAGGTCTCGGTGGTAAGTTAATATAGATGGCTCTCTCATCTTTCCCACCCTGAACTTAACTTGTTGAGTTACCTCGAGAGGTTCCAACCTGGGGAAGGAAGCTCTTCTAAACTTAGCCCTCGCAAGCATTCCTGCAGCAAACCGCTTGGACTTTTTCACTCCTAATTGCTTCCCGCGTCCTCTTTCCTCTCTTCCCCGACTGTGTCTGGAATACTCCATCCACATGTGCTGGTAAACGTCTCCCAGTGCCTGTGAGCAGGAGCGTCTGCAACCCTGACTTCCTCGTATGCCTGACAGTGTTTACTGGCTCTTGTCCATTCAGGCCCATTTATAAGAAACCCCTTTTGTGCACCGCGCAAGCTTTTTTTTCTCTTTTCATACATTTATGGCACAGTAGGGGACATCATACCTATTGAGTGCAAAGCTAAAACTAAGAATAATTTGTTGGACCACCAAGTAGGACTACTGCGACATGATATGTTCTCCTATGTTTTGAGATAAAAGGTGACAACGTCGGATTGATTTATGTCAGGAAATGGTTCCCGAAGGGAGATGGCCGTGTGGAATGCAAGGTTTCCTGCAGTGATTGTCCTTGTGGAAAAAAACACTTCCTGGTTTCTCTCCATGACCTATCCTTGGACATTCTATACCAGCTTGAGATATAAGTATTGTGTTATGCGGTTGTGTGTCCGCTCTAGGGTGGCTGAGGGAATTACAGTAACTGAATTGGTTATTGTAGACAACGGGGCGGCTTATTGCGAATTTACCATCATTACACGCTGAAGTTATCCGCTGTCTTTGTCATCAACACCACCTGCATGGTTGTTTTTACCGTCTGTTTCTTTGCAGCGCGCTGCTAAAATACTGAATGTGGAATGTTATTGGATGGGCCGATGGAGAAACGGCTCATGGTATGAGTTTTTTCCAATATCCTTTTTAGGTTGACACACGAGCTGTGCAGGATAGGGAATCATAGAATAGCTCACAGTGTGGTAATATGCCAGGAATAGAGAATTACAAAACTGCGATGGTGGAAGCCGCTTTCACCCAAGACTTTTCGCGTAGTCCTCACGACAATACAGTCTGCATTTATTCATCTGCATCAAGGCATTGCTCTAAATGTGCGCACCTTCACACAAACGCAGCTTCCCACTGCTGATTCCGATGCATCCATCCGCAGACACCGTTTGGGTGTTGAACATCACACGCCATTGCCAGTGCTCAGTTTTTTTTTTTTTCCTTTCACACAACAGGCGCCTGAACCTTTGCTCCTGATACTACCTTCAAATCTGAGTAAATTCACCGGTGTCCTGACATGTCACGATTCCATATTGGTGCTGTTGACACAGAGCAGTGAAAAAGTGGATTTAGGCTAGCATGAAAGACATTCACAAACAGCGGTCCTCTGAGTCATGTGATTGGCTAAAACATTTTCATTGGTCATTCAGATAGTGTTGATGGTATATGGAAAGGAAAGCCCTGATTTATTTATTTTTTTCATTCTGATAACTGCAGTAAACACCTTTTCTCATTCTCATTGCTGTAGTAATTGGCAGTGGTAGCTCAATACCCGTATTTGATGTCCGCAGAAACACGGACATGTGTCTGGCAGGCTTGTGTGTGACGGGGTGATTCAAATCTCCAAATTTAGAGCCACTTAGCTTCCAGTATTCTCTCAGCGGCCATCTTATTCTGCTTCTGCTGACCGCCAGCAATGACGGTCTGCAGAGGAACCGGCAGGAGAGTTTAAACATTTCCATCTGTGTAACAAGATAGCAAGCAGAGACGGCAGCTCTTCTCTCCGCTCTCAAAGGGCCATCCGAAGAACTCTCGGAGCACAAAATGGTGGACGGCTGTGTGCCACCGATACCCCAAGCTCGTCCTTGGCCGCAGCGCGGCTGCCGTGTGAAATAGAGCCCTCGGTGTGGATCGTTGGCCCGGGCTTTGCATGTGATGCAGGAGATAATTCTGGCTGCCCCAAGAGAGAGAGGAGGAAGCGGCCAACTGAAGTGACTGTACACCAAAGAAGATTGAGCAGACTTGGAGACAACTCGGGCCATGCGTGTCTGCGTCCACTTATCTCACTTCTAAACCCATCGGACTTGCTCGATGTCCATTGCGTTTGTTAGCACAAACAGAAAAAAACAAAACAAAGAATAAAAGTTATTCCATCTACAAGGAATGAAGGGTGACATCATAAAGGCAAACTTTATCACAGCAACAGTTTGTTTTCGCTGGTCTGAGTCATTTGGTGGGACAAATGGACATATTGAGGTTGAAGTATTCTGTCGGTGTAGAACCGAACGATTCAACCTAAAGCGATGGAGAACACTACTTGGCTGCGACCAGCAGAAGCGCAAATGATTCATTCTCAATTAGTTTGCTGGTTAAAGGACATTGCGGAGAGAGATTCTTCCCAGAATTGACCAAGGTAATCAAACACCTCTTAGCCAGGCCATCCTTAGTTGAACCGGCGAACCGAAATGGAAGAGACTATTCTCTATCCTCACCAATGAATGAAGCTACCTCCCACCATTTAAAAATGCAATATTTGAATCCGCTGTTCAAAAAAAAGACGCGATGTACAAATCTTGAAAAATCTTGGAAGGATTTAGCAAATTGCCTTTTACTATCTTATACATTGCAGATATCAGAGTGAGTGGAACCATAAAATGCATCGATCACAATGAGTTGACCCCCAGCACCCCTCCATTTCTCTAAATGTTAGAGGGGCTATAATCGGCCGATTTAATCGGCAGGCGCTTGGGCCCGAGTGAACATTGCAGGCGTGAAGGTCCCAAAAATACCCCATCGGTCTCATGGTGTCAGTCTAGGAGCTGTCGCCTTAAAGACACACAAGGAGATGTTCATTAAAGGTTCCCCTAATCTGCTTGGTTGTCATCTTGTGCAAAATAGGCCAAATGTTGCTACTTAATGCTCTGTGTAACGCACCCCACCCCCCTCCCATCTCTGCTACTTTTTTTCAGCAACGCCGATCACTTTGCAAAACAGAAGGCTACCCTTGGCGCAAGGTTACCACGCCGGCCGCTTCTCCACCAATTTTTCATGCGGCTTTGGAGAGCAAACGTGGCCTTGGCGAGTCATTAATTGAGAGGGCTTGCGAATAAAGATAAAAACAGGGGGAAGTGTCTGTCGGTCTGGATGGGTGGCTGATGTCAGGTAGCCATCTGTCACATGGAGACGGTCTGACCTTGCAGTATGGAGGACCCGGACATAAAATATGGGATTAGCGGGTTGTTGCCGGTGGCATTCCTTTTGCTTTATCCTCTGGCCAAGTACTCTTGGTCATACATGCTGTTAGCCATGTCACGATTTAGCTTGAATTTCAGACGCTAAATCTCTTTAGTTCCGGTGCTCTGCCAGCCATACCAGTCGACGGAACGGTACGGTGCTGGCCGTAAACGAGGTCCTTGAGGAGGATGGTCTTTGAGACCTATTGTGGCGCGCTGCAGCACTTCCTTTTTTTTATGTCATGTGAATGTGACACCAATGAAGGTCAGGTTGCAGACAGATCAGCAAAGCTCTCTTAGTTGTAGTGCGCAAGCAGCTCTGCACCTCCATTTTCCACTGCCTCTTGAAACACTCTCATGTTTTGCTTGGTTGTCCTCACAAAAACCTGATTTTCCTCCCCTGACCCCAGTACTAGAACACAAAAGACAATCATTGGTGTTTTTTGCTGAGTAACCATAGAAGTTGTCGAATTCAATTCGGGTTCATGTCGCTCCGCTGCTAGCACATTGGCAGTGGACATCTGTTCATCAGCTGGTTGGACTCGTTTGTATTCATTTTTAATTTGGAACGTAGTTCAAGTGTGGACTAATGAGATTTTGGCCTAATTCATGTTTTAAATAAGAGTAATAATAATAATAATCTGATAATTAAAGTGTTTTGTAAAGTTGTACTGCTGGCACACTCAACTGTGTATGTTTTTCCACATTCTTTTTGATTCCATTCCAGTCTCTGACTGTTAATGCGATGACAAAACGCTCATGGCTGAACATGATGGACTAGTTCTGTCTCTCATCTGAGAAGGCGCAGGACTTCATTGATTGGCCGATGGAAATCGATGTCTCATCTCAAGTGTATTCATACTTCCTCAAATGAGAGGCATCATATGATCGCATCATTTAAGGAACCTCTGTTCGCCGCTCTGATGAAGGGGACGGTGACTAGTTCACTCTTTTGTCTTATCACCAATCCTGAAATGTGACAGTGATTAAAAGCGATAGGCTCATCAAGACGGGAGGAACTGTGCATGCCTTTTGTCAGATTGCAGGTCTGTGTAACGTAGTGACGAAAGGCTTTCATTCAAGTTGCTTTTTAGGAGTCCTGCTGTCGTAGAAGAAGGCTGGGGGCGTTTGGACAAAGAAAACTAGTGTAATTATGGTACTGCAAGGCTTTTTGGCTCAATTGCTTGGAGACGAGATGAACAGGTGATGACCAATGAATTGACATTATGCCCACCCTACGATAGCCACCGCAGAATTTACCAGATTCAAACATAACGTGACTTCCTTGGTGGGCATATACTGTATATTTTTTGAATACAATAATACAATAATACATTAATTATGATGAAAATAACATTGTTGATATTGATTTAGTGGGCCAATGATTATATGATGTCAAGAGAGACCGCCAATCTTTTTCTTATTCGTTTAAAAAATGTGTGTGTGCAGAGTCATGCAAATGCTGAAAACATTCAAAACGATAGCCACAGCAGAATTTACCAGATTCAAACATAACGTGACTTCCTTGGTGGGGATATACTGTATATATTTTTTAATACAATTATATAATAATTATGATGAAAATAACATTGTTGATATTGATTTAGTGGGCCAATGATTATATGATGTCAAGAGAGACCGCCAATCTTTTTCTTATTCGTTTAAAAAAATGTGTGTGTGTGCAGTCATGCAAATGCTGAAAACATTCCCAAAACGTTAACCCTTTTTTTTTTTGTTATGTTAAATTAAGAATCACCAAAC